TTGTTTCCCTTGGTTGTACGAAGGAAAGGTATTTTCCTTCGGGTTGAAGTCTTGGAGTGCGGTATCTCCGAGCAAGGTTGTTGAGGCTCGTGGGACTCGAGTTCTCAGGTTGTAACGGTTTGTTAAGCACCCGTAAGCTTAACGGAAGTAGTGTAGCTCGAGAGAGTCTCTCGGGAGACTGGATTAGCCACACGTTGTGCTGAACCAGTATAAATCTTGGTGTGCTCCCTTTACGCTTTCTACGCTCTTTACTTTTCACGTTCTTAATTTTTTATTCCTGCGATTTCTACGATCAAACGCTGTTCACCCCCCTCTAGCGTTGGTCACTTATTCTAACAATTGGTATCAGAGCCTAACTCGCGTCCAAACTTAACCGTTTGAGAGTAAAGCGATCATGGGTTCTTCTTCTAGAAATTTGTATGCAGGAATAGGTGAAGGGCAATCAACCACACGGCCACCTCTTTTTGATGGAACCAATTATACATATTGGAAAGAATGAATGAGAATCTATATTCGTTCCACGAACTTCCAATTATGGTTGGTTATTAAAAACGGGGAAGAGGTGCCGATGAAGAAAGTCGGAGACAAGTTGATCCCCAAGACCGAAGACGAGTTTGATGCCGAGGACATCAAAAAGGTCGAGAATAATGCAAAAGCAATAAATATGCTTTATTGTGCCGTAAATCCTGATGACTACCGCAAGATCTCTTGCTGCTCAACCGCCAAAGAGATGTGGGATAAACTTGAGGTGACGTAAGAAGGAACGAACCAAGTACGTGAAGCCAAGATTGACTTCCTCACCCAAGAATAAGAGATGTTCAGGATGAAGGAGCACGAGAAGATCGATGATATGTTCGACCGTTTTTCCAAGATAGTCAACGATCTCCATGCATTAAAGAAGACATACACCGACAGGGATCTTGTGCGAAAGATCCTACGGAGCTTGACATCCGAATGGCGATCCAAGGCCGATGCCATCTATGAATCAATCGGCACATCAAATGTCACCA